AAAACAAAAAACTTTTGAAATGTTTTACTTTACATGTAATGAATCTAGAATATATGAAAGTTTCACTTTTTGAAATAAGTAACAAAAAAATAAACTTTTTCAAGATATTCAAATTTTTTGAGATGCACCTGTATGTATAGCAAACAATGGAGTGCACTCTGCTGGACAAACTAAGTAATTACACCATTGGCAAGCATTTTATCTGCGTCATATGTTCTGTAAAAAAAACATTCATATCGGTGGCATATATGCCAATGCAGATATATCTGTGACAGGCTCATATCGGCTGATAAAATCGGCAAAGCAATAAATCGGTTGGGCTCTTTTTTTTTTTTTTAGTAAAAAGATGTAGTATCATGTGTTTTTGTGTTGTTTTTTTTTAGTTGTTCCAGAGATCCAGTCATCTTACAGTTCAGCAGTTGACCGCAGCACAGCAGCAACAGTATGCCCTTGCTGCAGCCCAACAGCAACACCTTGGTAACATTATTACTTTCAGACTTGTATTTTCATCCAGAAACACTCTGTCTCCTATATCTTGTTTCCACCATAATGTTTTTTGTTTTGTTTTGTTTTGTTTTAAGAGGGCAAAAGAAGATGCAGTAAAAGTTCAATAATTGAGTATTTAGTGGTTCAATTTCATTGTGCAGGCAGTATTTGAAATGTATATGGCCTGTTGTTCCGGTAGGCCTTGCACCTGCGTTTGTGCCAAACCCTTACATCATCAATGCTGCCCCTCCTGGAGCAGACCCTTACACCGCTGCAGGATTGGCAGCAGCTGCCACACTTGCAGGTATACACATGTACACACTTTATAAATATCAAGCATGTTATAGAAAATCCTGGGATCTTAAATATGGAGTCCTCAGTCTAAAGCTCATGTTTTTCCATAGGTCCAGCTGTAGTCCCTCCTCAGTACTATGGAGTGCCGTGGGGTGTGTATCCAGCCAACCTCTTTCAACAACCGGCTGCAGCTGCTGCCAGTCATTCCGCCAACCAGCAGGCGTCCAGTCAGGGTCCAGGACAACAGGTTGATGACATTATCTCAACATATAAAGCTTTGGTCACACTAGACTTTGAACATACAAAATTTCTTTGGACACTGCAATGGTCGTGATAGTGTTTAAAAAAAAAAACTAAATTCAACACACAAAAAATAATTCTAATTCCAAACTGTAAAAAAGTGCAGTGTACCTTTTCTGCAGTGCTGCAGTTTTTAAATGAATGCTCTTTAAATTCATGTGGTGACTTATCGATCTTCTGTTGGTCTCACGGTTTCATGTGATACTATTTCGTAGGTCAGAGTTTACAGAACTTTGGAACGCAGCGCAGTGTAAAAACGTCTTTGAATGCAGAAGAATGAAAGTCAGTGGATTGAAAAGTGTAGTGTGACCGGCCCTTAAGCCTCGTTCATTGTGTGACATTACTTTTAGGAGGATTTGAAAGAGATAAATAGATAGCGCTAACTTGTACTGAACCAAGGCTATTGACAACAATTGTGGCATAATGTCGATTACCGCAGAAAATAAATTCCACTTGTTTTTTGTAAACTCATGGATATAGTAAGACATGTTGGGGAATCACACAAGGTTTTTTTAAACATTAAAATGCACACTGTTGTTATATCCAGTCTTCATCACCTAAATACATATGTAACACATAACCAGAAGTTAATTTGCCTAGATCAGTGGTTCTCAACCTTTTTTTCCACTGGGCTGCACTATGGTCCAACTGCAAGTCTCACGGGCAGCACGCATATCGTTTACATATTACGTCACCAATACAAACCAACCAGATTATATATATTATATATATAATATTATATATTATAGCTTAAATATATTATCTAATCAATTACATTCATTAAAATAAATAAATAATTATACTCACCATTAATAAAACACCTGATGCTGTCGGGAGCTGACAAATTTTGTGAAATTCCGCTCGAATGGAGTTACAGCACAATGAAGTTGCAGTCTGTAAGATGCGCACGGAAGAGTGACTTGACGCGCAACATTGCAGAAAATGTGCGTTCACCAATGTAGCCTATGGTGATCCACATATGGAAAACACTTTCGAATTTAATAATCTGAGGTTCTCTCCAGAGATGTTTTGCCACATTTTTGCAATTTAAGGATGATTGCTGTGTAGTGTGGGTGTTTCCTTTTGAACATCTTCAAGTGAGTGGCGGGGCAAACTGAAAGTCCAGAACTCTCCTACCTTCACTGCTTATAGCTTATTGTTGTTTTTATGTGTTCCTTTGCTGGCATTTTCCACATTTCGTTTTTCTCCCTTAATAACAAATTTGTTAAATAAATAATTATACTCACCATTAATAAAACACCTGATGCTGTCGGGACGGGAGCTGACACGGGAGCTGACAAATTTTGTGAAATTCCGCTCGAATGGAGTTACAGCACAATGAAGTTGCAGTCTGTAAGACGCGCACGGAAGAGTGACTTGACGCGCAACATTGCAGAAAATGTGCGTTCACCAATGTAGCCTATGGTGATCCACATATGGAAAACACTTTCGAATTTAATAATCTGAGGTTCTCTCCAGAGATGTTTTGCCACATTTTTGCAATTAAGGATGATTGCTGTGTAGTGTGGGTGTTTCCTTTTGAACATCTTCAAGTGAGTGGCGGGGCAAACTGAAAGTCCAGAACTCTCCTACCTTCACTGCTTATAGCTTATTGTTGTTTTTATGTGTTCCTTTGCTGGCATTTTCCACATTTCGTTTTTCTCCCTTAATAACAAATTTGTCCATCCTGATGCTCAATTTTACCGAACTAATGGCTGCTGATGACTATTTGAATTGAATTCTGCCAAAGTGCGCACTTGTAAGTGTTCGTTAAATGGGAAACGTTAATTATGTGAATAGCCTACAGGTCTGCTCATGTCTGAAAATAATATATGAAAAACTAAATTATTTTACATAACTAAAACATTATAGCTTATATTGGTTTAGTACAATTTTAAATGAATGTAAAAACTAAAATGAATTTTAAAACTGAAAGTTATTTTTTAAATTGTGTTCAGGATGGTGGGCCGCTTTTGAATTCATGACGGGCTGCATGCGGCCTATGGGTTGAGAACCACTGGCCTAGATGATTTAGACCAGTGGTTCTCAACCTTTTTGACAAGAGTCTTTGTAGATCATTCTCATAATTTACAAAAATGTTCAAAGGCGCCCAGCCCTAGTTTTGTTTTTCAAAACGTATTTAATCTATGGGCACTACTAGTTTCTGAAAACTAAAAAAGTAACTACGGTAATTATAATTAAATCACCCTCATATCGTTCCAAACCCGTAAGAGCTTCGTTCATCTTTGGAACACAAATTAAGATATTTTTGATGAAATCCGAGAGCTCTCTGACCCTCCATAGATGGCAATGGTCGTACCACAATTAAGGCACAGAAATGTAGTAAGGACATCATTAAAATAGTCCATATGACATGAGTGGTTCAACCATAATTTCACAAAGCTCCAAGAATACTTTTTGTGCTCAAAGAAAACAAAAATAACTTAATTCAACAATTATTGTCCTCCTTATCCCGTCTGCCGTGGCGTGCCGCCATTGTGGAGAGTATCAATGCATGCATGTGCTTTACTCTACATGTAAACTACGCATGCACATGCTGTCATCTGCTCGTAAACAAGACATAGCACATGCGTGTTCAATGTAAGGAGCAGCACCCACATGCGTTGTTTACATGCAGAGGAAAGCACGCACATGCGTCGTGATACTCTCCACAATGGCGGCACGCCACGGCAGACGGGATGAGGAGAAGAATTTTCTTTGGGCACAAAAAATATTCTCGTAGCTTTGTAAAATTACGGTTGAACCACTGATATCACATGGACTATACCGATGTCCTTACTAAATTTCTGTGCCTTGATCGTGGTAGGACCCTTGCTGTCTCAGGGTGTCCGCGGGTCCTTAAAATGTCTTAAATTCGGATTTGATGGGTCTTAAATATTTTTGGTCTTATTACCGCTAAAATATCTACAGTCTGACGGACCTAATGACTGTTTACAATCATTGGACAGACCGAAGATTTTTTTCTTCCCCGCGGTAAGTTACTTTAGTTTATTCATAACATGATATAGTTAAGTAACACCATGACAAGTGAGCAATTTTGCTCAATATTCTCACGACGCAAAAAACCATTCAAAACACCTACAGAGTGCACGCATTACGTGAAGTCTAGTGCGCATTTAGAGTGCGCTCTTTCACTGCATGATTCAGTCTATTAAAATGCATTCAGAATGATCGCAAATACAAGACATGGGGGCAGAAAATGTGTATATTTATACCCCTTCATATAGTTAATCAATTTCACATGGAAGAGAGCCTTTTTTTCTCCAAAAATTACCATATACAAATGTGATAATTGATTTTTTTACAACAGTTCAATAAACAAAGTTTTATTAAGAGACTTACGTTTTAGACACCCTATTGCCTGTTTTTGCACTATTTCGCCAACAAAAATAATTCCAAACAAAGCCACAGCGCTGTTTTGCGTCTTTGAGCAACATGACGGGTGTTTCTTTCCTGAATGAATCAACTGTTTAAATGATTCGGTTCAGTCGCAATGACTCACTTATTAACAGTACTGGCGGTTTTAATAGTCTTAAGTCTTAAATTTAACTTGTTCATGTCTGCAGAAACCCTGTGTCTATGGAGGGTCAGAGATCTCTCGGATTCCATTAAAAATATCTTAATTTGTGTTCCGAATATGAATGAAGGTCTTATAGGTTTGGAACAACATGAGGATGAGTAATTAATGACAGAAATTTCATTTTTGGGTGAACTATCCCTTTAAGTCATCTTTGGCTCAGCCCCATTTTAACGCCTTGCTCGGTTAGAGCGTTTGCTTCATAACTTGGAGCGTTTTCTCCTTTAGTTCATTTAGGCATGAAATCTTATATGAATGTAAAGCTTAGAGGAATGCAGGCTTATATGCATTTGTAAAAGTGTGTGTAATGACAGCTGCAGATAAAGCCATAATAAGCCTGCAAAGCCAAGTTGTCAATCCATCTTGATGGGTGTCATGAGTGGAATATAAACAGGTGTGTAAACTAACCAATGAGAGGGCAGTTTTAATCGTAAGACTTGCATAAACACATTTAGTTATGCTTTGTAATGTTGCCTTGTGAAAGTGAATGTAACCAAGAAGAAATTCTACAATGTCAGTCCCTGTTTTGGAACAAAGTAAGCAATGTGCAGGTCGGAAAATGCAATTAAACAGCTTTAAAGTTCATAGTAAATGAGTTTGTACTGAGAAATTTTAAAATGCAAACAAAATTTCTTCAGTGTTACTGTAGTCATGATTTGATTTACTGTAACTCTGATAAAAAAAAAAAAAAAACAAGTCAGTTATTTTCTCTTGTAATCAACATTGACACTAATGCTACTGATGTAGCTAAACTAGTATTGACACAGCAACATTCATTTAACAAGCATTCAGTCACAAGACCAAAGAGCTCATCAGATACTGAGTGCCATGACCTTAACATTGTTAACATGTAGTCTGGAATTTGTATAAGTCATCTTTGCTTAATTCGTCACCCAATTAATAGTTTAAAAGAGCATCATTTTTACTTTGTGTTCAATCTGCAGTGACACACTCAGCAGTGTAGTGCTCATTAGTTTAAATCCATTAATTTGTCTTCTTGCTCACCATCTACTCTGAAATGCTCCACTAATCTCCTGCACATTAAAATGCATTTCAACTCAGGCTGACATTACTGAAAATGAATAGTGAATTAAATAAACAAGTAGCTTTAGAGGCTAGTGGTTTACTTCAGGTTGTATTGTAACTCTTCCCTCGCCCAATCCAGGTGATTCGTGCAGGGACCAATCAGCGACCTTTGACCCCTGGCCAGAGCCAACAGAGTCAGCAGGAGTCCCTTGCTGCAGCTGCTGCAAACCCAGCGCTGGCCTTCACAGGCATGCCAGGTGAGTTATGCTTTGACCTTTTCTTCCTGTTTTAACTTCTGCAGGTAGTCTTGGGTTGGTTGTTCCTTATATCATAGGATGTGCTTAATTTCCGTTCATCTGTGTGCTTTATTTATGTGGTCTGGGAATCTGACGAAATGTTTTTTTGGCAGTGGTGGAAAGAGTACTGAAAAAATATACTCAAGTAAAAGTACCATTACCTTCCAAAAAATGTAGTTTGAGTAGAGTAAAAGTACTTGTCCAAAAAAAGAGTAAAAGAGTAGCCTATTTAAAAGTACTCAAGAGTATTGAGTAGTGAGTACTGAGCTGTGAATTCTACCCCCTCATAATAAACGCCGTACACCGCAATTTATACATTGCTGATAATACAATTTGTAAGGAAAAATGCATTAAAGGCACAATATGTAATTTTCGCCACTAGAGGGCGCGTATTCAAATTAAACATAGAGACAAAGGCGTAGTTTGATGACGGCGTAACTGTGTGTGGAATCATTGGAGTTGTCGTCTTCAACCCCACAGCTGATGCAATCCGACGGGACTCAGGCAGAAATCATGTTCATGGATGAGCTAATGATTTATTAACGTAGTGGAATGAAGCAGGGTGAGTCTGAAAGCCGTCGAAGCGAAACGAGGCCGCTGAACGAGCGTGACACACGGCTTGAAAGCAGCGGAGCTTTTATTACGCCACAGTCGACCGCTTCCGCTCCTTCCAGTCGTGTGTATGTGGAGGGGAAAAAAGCAGTGCTGTTTTATCATACTAGATACATTTGAAAGTTCTGTTATAATGCTACTCTGTGCGATCGTCACCGGTCTATTAAAACGCACAACATATTAAAGCGTCTTTGGTGTTTAATGATTTATTAACGTAGTGGAATGAAGCAGGGTGAGTCTGAAAGCCGTCGAAGCGAAACGAGGCCGCTGAACGAGCGTGACACACGGCTCGAAAGCAGCGGAGCTTTTATTACGCCACAGTCGACCGCTTCTGCTCCTTCCAGTCGTGTGTATGTGGGGGGAAAAAAGCAGTGCTGTTTTATCATACTAGATACATTTGAAAGTTCTGTTATAATGCTACTCTGTGCGATCGTCACCGGTCTATTAAAACGCACAACATATTAAAGCGTCTTTGGTGTTTCCATGTTTTCTACAAAACAAAACCGGAAATCGAGGGGTTATGATGTCATTGGCAGGCGATACAATGACAATATGGACACGGTCCGTGTCACTAGTTAAAATTGCTTATATTTCTGGATTTAAACATTCTTCGAAACATTTGGGATAATGTAAGCACACAAGTCAGCAAAATATATAACACTGTTCTAGTGCTTTTTGGATATTTTAATAAAAAAATCTTACATATTGTGCCTTTAAATAGCGAAGTATGTCTGGGGAAACTTTTTCAAAGAAAAACACACGCACACACGAATGTCTCTTTGCTGAGCCGCGGCGGTCTCGGTGAATCGGCAGCATCCACAACTGAACGGAACAAAAAGTGTTGAACTTGAAAATTGTTTATGCACGAGTGCACTCGCTAAATGAAGGCGGATTGTATAAAATGGATAAAAAAATAAAAATAAAAAACGTTTATTAATGAGCTGGCGTTTTATTACATCACTCGCTGGCACAGATGCAGTTGCCTATATTAACGCCACGGGTCATCAATGGCCCTGTCCCAAATCGAACACTTCATGTGCACTTGCAGTCTTATGGACTTACAATGGCCGCCATGTGCACGTGTCCATTAAGTCCACGAGACCGTAGGGTGTCCCATTTGTCATTTTAGTGTTCAGAAGGGTGCTCGCGAGCGCCCCCTTTATGCTCCCTCGATCCGCAATTCTGCCGAGCCCGCACTGGGGCGAGCTCCGCAGCAGACTTCTCCCCGACAGTAAAAGAGGCATTACGTCACGAAAGTGCGGACTCGGAGGAAGAGGGTTTAGGGTGCCATTTGGGAAGGTGCAGATTGGTCATCAATTTGTGTTTCCAACACACTTTTTCACAGCACACATCACGTGCTCAAACTCATCAAAAGTCAACAAGTTCAACAAGCAAGAACGACTTATCCAAGTGACTGCTGCAGAGCGCACGCGAGAGAGAGACGAGGCAGCTCAGATCGCGCGTCTCATAAGTGAGTGGGAATTTACCGAACGTGGCACTTGCGGGAGTTAATACTGTATACCCGCAACCTCACACCAAATTTCAGGCCGTGTAGATAGGCAAGCATATATACAAATCATTTAGTAAGCAGAAATCCGAAATTTACCTTAAAATATTAAGTTAGAAGAAGATGCGACTGAATTGATTGAAGAATGCACTTCCAGCAGCCATGATAAACAGTTGGCGGTTAAAGTTTTCTGTGCACAATTTGATTTGACAAAAGTCACGAGACCTATTACTATCTCTCTATCCAATCACAATGATGGATAAATATACAATTAAAATAAACATGTAACAACCACAAACGGAGGAAAATAGCGGAGTAAAAGTACATAACTTTTAAACTACTCAAAAAAACTACAATTACTGATAAAAAAACTACTTACTGTAACTTGAGTATTTGTAATTCGTTACTTAACACCCCTGGGTTTTGGCCATTAACAGTTCCAGCAACTTCCAGTGATCTCTCAGAAAAGTTCATGGTCATGCTGATTCACATGCAATTTCTAGCTAGTTTGGGATTATTGAAGGCAGACACATATGGACTTGGCACTGAGCTGCTTTTCATGCTAAAGAACTAATATGCCACATTCTCTGGGGTCTGCCTACATTTGCACAACTGAAATGAGGCATAACTGTCTGTGTTTATTGATTTGTACATCTTTTTATCAATGAAATGCATGAACACAGTGCTTTTGTGCTCATTTTGGCAGTTCTTAAGTCTGTCATTCCCATCATTAATTATCGAGTGCGACGAGATTTTAGCAAAATTAATCAGTAGCTGTGACCGAAATACCAAAAATAGAATTGTTACTTGTTGGATCAAAATAGGGCACCACCTTTAAATGTCTTGTTAATGTCTTTAGTGAATTTACTCTTTTTTGCTGGCAGATTTCACAATTTTTTTCAACTTATTTTTTACAGTAAATTTTATTAACTGTACTGTACTTAAAAGGTAATTAAGTAAATTGACAGGGGCCAAAAGGAGAGGGAACCCTGAAGTAAAACCTTTTATTTATTTTGCCTTTAAGCTTGTAAAGACACTGATTCAGACCCCTGTTTGTTGTGTTTTAATCAGGTTACCAAGTTCTAGCACCGGCTGCTTACTATGATCAGACTGGAGCACTGGTTATGGGTCCTGGAGCTCGCACTGGCCTGGGTGGACCTGTCCGACTGGTCCAAACCCCTCTCCTCATCAACCCAGCAGCTGCACAAGCTGGTGAATATGCTTGTTTTTGCATTCTTTTTGAACTGAAAACCTTTTCGGAACTTTGTTATTTAATAATGTTTTTTTTAATTCTGTTGACCAAACTGATTTACATTTGTTTCATTACATTCTTTCCTTCTTCTTTGACTTCTTTCCATCCTCTGTTGTCTAGCTGCAGCTGCATCTGCATCAGGTTCTGCTAACAGCATGTCTGGTCCTGCTAATGGTCTGTACCGATCCATGGGTTGCCAACAGCCCCAGCAGCCTCAACCTCAGCAACAGCCACCTCCACACTCTAGTGGCCTGCCCTCCAACTCCTTCTATGGCTCTGGCTCAGTGGCGCCCAGCTCCCAGAGCAGCTCACTATTCTCTCATACAAGCGTGGCACCTCCTAGCACCTCTCTGGGTTTCAGCAGCACTGGTGGATCTCTAGGTGTTGGGCTAGGCTCTGCACTTGGTGCCTTTGGCTCCTCAGGTTTGTTGCACCATTTGCATTTGCATCCATGAGTGACTGTTAACAAAGTAAAAACAATGCGTCAAATCAACCCCTTTTTATGTTCCATATTGATTGTGTTGCATCAATGTGTTCTTAAACTTTGTAACTTAATGAACTGTTTAATTTAAATGGGCTTTTGTGCTTTAGCTGGTACTGAGCCTGAGATGGACTCAGCGCTTGTCATTTATCAGCGTTTTCAACAACATGATTATGAAGAGAAATGATTGGTACTAGAAACTGAACATTATTTTTAAATTATTATCTGTAATCTACAGCCTCTGCAAACGGAGTGATGTCCGTTTCTTGAATGGAGGGGCAAAATTAAAGTTGTAATGGTTTCTCATTATGTAAAAAGATGGGCTGCTAAAGACTAGTTTATTCACATTATATATTCAAATTAATTGAAAATGTCCATATTTCACATTATTATTATTAGGTGCTTTAATAATATGATTGCGTGTATGTTGCATCATTGCATGATTGAACCAGTTCATTGAAACGAACTTCAACTTCAAAAGAACCAGTTCATGTAAAAGAATCAAATTTCCCCATTACCTGAGGCTATGGATTACAGGTAATATTGCAAATAATTTTCAGTTTCTTGCACAGACCGATTGATTTGTTTCATAAAACCTCAATATATCGTCAGGAGCATGGGTATTTGTTTTGTGGCATGTGATAAATTTGCATGTTGCACTCAAAACATGCATGAACAACTAACATGATCGTTATAAAGCTATTTAAATCGCAAAATACATTTGCTTACACAATCGAGAATTAGAATATAAATTATTTCACAATCTAGTTGAAAAAACAAAACAAAAAATCTATACATTAATCAAATTGAAGTGTCAAACTTGTTTTATAGTCATGGAAATAGGAATGTAATGCATTATATCTTATGTTTTTTCAAAACATTTTAATAAAAACGGTAATAGTCTGTTTAAAAATTACAATTCTAAAACAGAGTTCCAATGCATAAATATACAGTATGTAGTTTTTGTCATCAACCACACCATTGCCAATTTTTATATTTAAGAAAAGTTTTACATGTTTAATGTTTGTTACGGAATATGATTAATTAAGAAATAAAGACTTCTCCCAAAATATCCAGAATTGAATGTTTTGGTGCGGTTTTGTTGTATCTTCGTGAAATTCTTGGGGGATGTGTGCCTTTGTAATCAACAAACTCTAGAATTGCCCCTGATAATGAGCTATGAAACTGGTTTTACATTTTCCTGATGTGATGTGGAATGGGCAGGAATTGAGTATCTGAGCTTCAGAAATGAATACTCTTGCTTTAGGTGAAGGAACTGACTGAATAGGGTTTGAGAAGCATGGATTAGGTTGTCATGGCAGATCAGTTCGTCAGTTGCGCTCAGTTGATCTTATCTTTCTCTTTTTTTTTTGTACTTTTGTACTCTTGTACTCCTACAGTATCAAGTTCCACTAGCAGCTGCGCAACCCGTCGGGACTCCCTTTTGGCCAGCTCTGACCTGTATAAGCGTGGTGGTGGTAGTAGCTTGACGCCCATTGGCCAATCTTTTTACAACAGCCTAGGATACTCTTCCTCCCCCAGCCCCATTGGACTGACGCCTGGTCACTCCCCTCTGACACCTCCACCCTCTCTGCCCTCCTCCCATGGGTCCTCATCCAGCCTCCATCTGGGTATGATCTCTTAGTTCAACTGATTTATCCAAATCAGAGTTTGTTTCCCTGATCTATATAATGACTGGATTGCTCATTGCGTTCTAAACTGCTATCAGACAGTGAAGCTACCGGAAAGTGCTCAAGCGGCCATCTTACTATTCCCTACTGACAGAGAGCATCATTTGCCGCGTTTCAACTGTCGGGCCAAAAGCGGGCGTGCTAGTGCATGCCAGGGCCAGTCGCGTTTCCACTGTCACTTCCGGGGCTTGATCGTGCCTCGTGGGTGCTTCCTCGGGGCCAACGGCCCGGGTTTTTTGGCCCGACGAAAACCTTGGGCCAAAGCGGGCCAGCTGGGGCTAGAGGAGTGGTTATGAACAAAGGTGGAGCTTCTCTGCGTCTGGAGAGTGCCAGCGCCACGGATCATTTCATAAAGTTAACAGCTGACACCAGCATTAAAGGCTTTTAAAATAATTTTAGCTCAAAACTCATTTTCTGACAGCAGTGAGTGTTTGAAATAACTTCTGTTTGAGATCCGATGTGGATTATGATCACCATACAAGGCAGAAATATTTAGCGATGCAAAAGACTGCATGCTAGCCATTAACGTTAGGCTACCATAGTAAACATGTTAAATATGACCGCTTGAAGAAATCAGACGTCAACTTCTTATTCTCTGTCACAATCGTGTATTTATTTAGAAACATTTTATCTGTCATAAGTCTCGTCTCGAGAGTTTAGCTCCGCTTGTCATAAAAATATAATAATGGTTTTTGTTCGGGAGCTTTTATAAAAATATAGAAATGATCATTCTTTCTAAATGTGATGTATATACTGTGACTACAAATCAACAGTAACAGACTGAATAAGTAGGTATGCTATGTTCATACCGCTTTATTTCTGTGTGACTAATTTTCAATCCTGATAAATTAATTCATTATGATCAATGTATCTCTTATTATTGTAAAACATCGATGCATTTGGATTTAAATCTTTACAGTGGAAAAGCGGCTATTGACTGACAGCCAAAACCTTGACCTAAAACTGCCAGATCTGAAGTGCATCAGTCACACAGGATTAGTTTTGTAATATAATTTTGTAATACTAAGTTTATGTAAATTAATTTTTATTTTAGATGTGATCTGCAATGTTTATAGTCTTTTTGGGCAGGATAAGCGATTTATTGAAATTATTAAGGTGTGTGTCTGCTGCGCACTTGCCGACATATGTAAGTGATCCAACACAAAATAAATTTATTTCGCGACATTAAACAAATAGCCATTTACATACTTGGGACGTTTGTGTTGTAAGAATATAAAAGGAGACCTCAGATATAAAAACGCTGACTAGTTATGTGATGTATTCATTAAACTCCTATGATTCCCTATTAATACAATAGAATGTATGGGAATACTAGGAATACCAATATGATGGTGTGGTGGCTTCACTTTTATGATGTCATGAGCAATCCAGTTGTCTATTATAGATCAGTGGTTTGTTTTCCAGTTTGGGTTAAATGAAAACAATTTTCACAACAAGCAAACTCAAACTAAGGTCAAATGGACTGGTCCATTTGCCCCCTGAAAATTCTTTGAGCTTAGTTTGGTTTGGTTTGTTTAGTGCAATGGATTTCAAAGTGTGGGGTATGCCTGCCAGGGGTGGGGCTCATGTGGCTCATGTTCTGCAGGAGAAACTTTACAAGCGAAGAAAACTCTAAACTCAAAATCCTGTTTTCATCTCTCTCCTGCTCTTCTCAGGTGGTCTGACCAATGGCAGTGGTCGTTATATTTCGGCTGCACCAGGAGCAGAAGCCAAATACAGGAGTTCAGGCAGTACCTCCAGTCTTTTTAGCTCTAGCAGTCAGCTCTTTCCCCCACCACGAGCCCGCTACAGCCGCTCAGATGTCATGCCTTCAGGACGTAGCCGCTTACTAGAGGACTTCCGGAATAATCGCTTTCCCAACCTGCAGCTGCGAGACCTGCCTGGTCACATGGTGGAGTTCTCTCAAGACCAGCACGGATCCAGGTCCCAGCTCCTCCCAGTTTATGCATTTGCAGGATTTTAGAAAAACTTGGATTTTTTTCAATTAAGTTTTCCAGTAATGAAAAATGTGGAAGATTACCTTAATACCCAGAAAAATAATTAGTTGTTTGAAAATGTTTTAGAATCACATTACTTTTAAAACTTGTTCATTGTATGTCAGTCTTTTACAATTTCTGACATCTGTTTTTTATTTTTTATATATATCAATATATCCTATATCTGCTTATTAACTGTGTTGTAAATGATTTTTGTATTAACACATTTTTTTTGAAGCATTTGAAATATTTTAGATCATGCGAGTCTGGAAACATTGCAAAAATAGCAATTGAACACAATTAAAACACTATTGTCATATAAAATAAATGTCCTGGAAAATAATTTAATGAAAGATTGGGAACCCTCTACGTTGAATATTCCTTTAAATTTCTTAATTAAAAAAAAAATAATGTAAGGTCATTTTTTTCAACGTCCAGGTTTATTCAGCAAAAGTTGGAACGTGCAACTCCTGCAGAGAGGCAGATGGTGTTTGGGGAGATCCTACAGGCTGCTTACCAACTCATGACCGATGTTTTTGGCAACTATGTCATACAGAAGTTCTTTGAGGTAATTCATTTTAAACATTCAACCACAGTGTCTAGGACTGCGTTTCTAGGATATGCATTAGTCAATTGCTCCAATGTTTTTCCCATCAGACTCTGTTTTTAACAGGATAAGGCTTCCACCACTTGTTTTTATTTAATATAAACATGGAAAATGTTCAAATTTGTCAGTTAAAAACAAAAGACATAATACTAATGTAGGAAGTCTATATGCGAGACGTGAATGCAATTTATTTATTTTTTTTAAATGGATAGTTTTTGAACAGTAAGATTTTTTTGTTTTTAAAGAAGACTCTTCTGCTCAAAGCCTGCATTTATTTGATCCAAAATACAGCAAAAGCACTAATATTGTGAAATATTTTGTTACTATTTGAGTATATTTTCAAATGTAATTTATTCCTGTGATCAAAGCTAAATTTTCAGCATCCTTCTGGAAAGTAATACTTTTATTTATCAAGGATGCCTTAAATTGATCAAAAGTGATGGTAAAGACATTTATAATGTTACAAAAGATTTATATTTCGGATAAATGCTGTTTTTCTGAACTTCTGTTCATCAAAGAAACCTGAAAAAATTCTACTCTGCTGTTTTCAACATAATAATAATAATAAATGTTTTTTGAACAGCAAATCATAATATCAGAATGATTTCTGAAGGATCATGCGACTGGAGTAATGATGCTAAAAATTCAGCTTTGAAATCACAGGAATAAATTACATTTGAAAATACAGGTAGCTAAGTGTAACAACAGCAATTATTAGGCCATTGGTGCCCTTTGCAGGCATTTGTAATACGTAATGTATATAAATTGTTTATTTTGTATTAGCCTACATTATGTATTTTAACGGTGTTATTCAATTAAACCATATCATTATTATTAATTATAATTATTGCCTCGTTGATTTTATAAAGCCTAATGCATTTTAAGCCATGGAAACTAGAATATTAAGGCAGATGCGTGGTGATAAAATGATTACCGACAGTAAAACACGTTATTAACGTTAACAGCCAAAAAGGTTTCATAGGATTATGAACGTACCTGAAAGTGATACAAAGGCGTCATCTTGGGCTTTTTTTCTTTTTCTTTTCTCTGCGCCGGATTGCTGATTATGATCATTTGCAGTCAGCCGCAAATATGATTTGACGGTGCGGTGCGAATGTGGGAATGGTGCGTGTGCTTAGCCTACTGCGTTCACAGTTAAATGCATTTATGTATATGTATATGTGTGTGTGTGTGTGTGTGTGTGTATATATGTGTGTTTGTATTTTTACTTATGTTTATGTTAATATTAATATAGAACGAAAGTTTTTTTTTGTTTTTTTTGAGCAACTGGGATAGTGCCTCCCATGGGAGTAGGTGCCCTACACAGACTGCATACTCTGCGTATAGGGAGCGGCGGTACTGTTAAAATATATTCAAATAGAAAACATTTATTTTAAATATTAAAATATTTCAAAATTTTACTGTTTTTGCTGTTATTTGGATCAAATAAATGCAGGCTTGGTAAGCAGAAGAGACTTATTTAACAAAACATTAAAAGTCTTACTGTTCCAAAGCTTTTGACTGGTAGTGTATTTTCTTTTTTCTCCCAAAAAATGCTTTAGCTTCTGAAACTTTAAATGAATTAATGGCTGTGAATGAAATATAAATGTATGTTTTGTGTGTGATGACTTGTGCATGATGCATTTCTGTCTTTGAGAGTAACTGCTTTCTCCGATTCTCTGCTACAGTTTGGCAGTGCGGATCAGAAACTGGCACTTGCAACTCGTATCCGTGGCCATGTGTTGCCGCTGGCTCTGCAGATGTACGGTTGTCGTGTGATTCAAAAAGCTCTGGAATCCATCTCTTCTGACCAGCAGGTAATTGTAAGTTGCCATTTGTTTTCTTTCCACATTACACATTAATCCACGATGTTAGGCATTGTTTGATTGTACTGTAACTTTCTACAGTACAGTATAGTCCACTAGGATTTAAAAAAAAAAAAAAAAAATTTAAGTCTACATGTATTAAAATAGAAAATTATTAGAAATGGTGGTAGTTCTCAGAACTACAGAGTGAGTAATTGTTTAATTGAAGGTTTAAATTTTTTTATTTCTCATGTGTCAGAGTGACATCGTACGGGAGTTGGATGGTCATGTGCTGAAATGTGTCAAGGATCAGAACGGAAATCATGTGGTGCAGAAATGTATCGAGTGTGTCCAGCCCCAAGCTCTTCAGTTCATTATTGATGCCTTTCAGGGACAGGTATCAGCTCCACAGACACTCAAAACACCCAGAAACAGAATTTATACAGTGGGTACGGAAAGCAGACCAAATATTGATGCATATTATTGCATGTCTGTTGAAAAACGTCTTTAAGAACCTTTGTAGTCTACTCTAGTCCATGTTAAAATCGTGCAAAAAAAAAAAAACAAGCTATAGAGTTTATACCCTGGTAGGTATTTTCTGGCTATATACTATATCAGTAGTCAGGACTGCTTTATGTTACTTACTAGAGCCTGACCGATATATCGTTTTGGCGATATTATCGGCCAATATGGGCCTGTCGCAGATATATCGGTATCGGCAAATATGCCGCCGATATGAAATTTTTTACAGAACATATAACGCAGATTAAATGCTTCTGAATGGTGTAATTACTTAGTTTGTCCAGCAGAGCGCGCTCCATTGTTTGCTACTTTGTTTGCCCAGGTCAGTGTAAAGCACCGTTCCAGTCGAGCGAGACTTCTGCGTTCAGAAAAAGGTGGATTAGATTGTGTTTTATTAACGTCTACACCTACCCCAACAGTAAACAATAATGCAAAAACCATAATTGTTGTACAGTGACAAAAAGTAAGCTATATTGATGTGCGCGTGCGCATGCTCAGTAGCCGCAGCTGTACCTTAACCACAAATCAGACTTCGGTGAACTTAAACTTGAAAAATGGTGTGTTCCGCAGTTGAAATAAAATACATTCTGATGTTTATTCATGTTTATTCATGAACTGATTCTTTTCAATTAACCTTTTAAATCGGTTCGCAAATCGCACCAAATGATTCATTCACGAATTAGAATGAACCGATTGCAGCTGTTCTCGAGTCGACAACTCACTGATTCAAATGAATCGTTTAGTGCGAGTCTCCAGTGAACTGAATTCACAAGTAAGAACCGGGAGATCTTGTGAGCGCGCATGCGACTTATGCTGCTAAAAGTAAGTTACTAATGTCGAATTTTAGGATTAATTATTGTACCTGAAAATCATATTTAGGTCAAAACTGTCAGTTGTTTGTGATCTTAATCTGCTGTAAAAGGTGATCTATTTAAGCCCACTGAAATGCTTGAATGCAGAAACATCAACATATCAGTGTCTCTATGTTTTAGGTAAAAGAAGGAAACATTAAAATAACACAGACTAAATAAAATAACTCATGCACGTTCATATTCCCCTCCCCGCTGTCGTAACTTTAACAGTTTTATTAAAATGCTACGCATTTAGCCCTATGTGACGTCTGTTTTTATATTGTTTATCAACAGTATACATTTTTATATTGTTTAGATTAACTAGCCGAGTAGACAGATATGATGGTTTATTCATAACCATACTGAAAATAAGTAAATATTGTTAGCTGATGCTAACTGTCTAGCTAACAATCTTGCTGGTGCTAAGTTGAGGTAATTTTTAGATATAAAGTCCAAATATTTTTATTCAACCACCTACATAGATTGCATCTGGGGGAAAATAAAGGATGTGATGTTCAGAACATGGTAACTACAGTAATTATCAAAGTGGGAAGTGATGCCCTCTGGGGGCATTTGGCCAGGGGTGTTTTTACACCACAGACAAGGTTTGAGAATAAAAAAATCATTATGAAAATATAATTATATTTTCCTTCAAATGTTTTTCCTAACTGTGATGTTCTGCAAAACAACAAGCTTTAAAACAAGCTTTTTTTTCTTACTGGTGAAAATAAGATGGTCAAATCTGTTTTCTCTCAGGTACATCGCAATGTAAGCTTCATAGTGAACATTACTACATCACTCTCGTCAACGTAGTCCATATCAACAACAAAAATATATTTCGACTCCATATAGTGGTTATTTTGGGAAAATTCCAGGTATTTTGAGCAGTAGGATTATAAAAAAAATGTGCTAATATAAAATTAAATTAAGTAGCCTATATAAAATTGCTAAATAAATCTATCTATCAGTACTTTTTTACTTAAGTACATAAAATCGAGTACTTTCGTACTTTCACTCGAGTAAAATTGAAAAAGGATATTAAGTAATATTTTATTATACGTATCTGTACTTTTACTCAAGTTCTTGATTTGTGTACTTCGTCCACCACTGATGAAAAGACGATGGGTTCACATGTGCTGCTTGAACTGAGGCGCTACAGCGATTTGTCACGACACATTAAAGAGCCACAAAACAGTATTTATTGTTTGAATTTCTTTAAAAATGACAAAATTAGATTCCTGAGAACTTGTTTCATACCAGAAGTAGCCTGTTCTGTCTTGTCTGTCGGCACGTTGTCAGTTTCCTCTTTGCTCTGCGATGTATTTTTCACTGTTTGAGAACATGTTGTGTAGTGTGAGAGTGGCGTTGCTTGTCGGAGATAGCAACGGAGTTAAAGCAAAAATAATATACCTATGAAATATTAATTTTAATTTATTTTACTGTCCAGTTGTTTTACAGTATATGGCTATTGCTGTCGTTGTTGTTATTATATTCTAATTAGTTTAGCTTCCTAAAACACCAGTGTGTATGTAATTTAGACTGAGACAGTATATCACAAATAAAAAGAGGGTTGAGTCCTCTTTTAAAGTTCAATTTACTGACTTTTTTCTGACTTACGTTTTCTTAAGTTAAATTTTGAACTCTCAAAGTGCATTAGATAGAATGATTTAACTTTAAAATGTACAACATTTTAATTTGTTTCCAAATCTTCATGTCTTTTTTTCTTTTTTTAAATATTACATTGTGGAAACGTTTTTTCCTCTCGGTGTGTAGGTGTTTGTTTTGTCCACTCATCCGTATGGCTGCAGGGTGATCCAGCGTATCCTGGAGCACTGTACCCAGGAGCAGACCCTGCCCATCCTGGAAGAACTCCACCAGCACTCTGAGCAGCTGGGACAGGTACAACTTCCTGAATGTGTCATCCAGGAATTCTAGGAATATCTGAAGTCTACCACTCTTGCTGTAGTTACTTTCTTATTGTGTGGCCTCTTTTCATCTTTCAAAAAATAATCCCAGTAGAAAATGTTAAAATTTAAGTAACTGTTCCAAAGGGCCAACATTGACAGCTGCCTTCTAAGGGGCCGTTTACACAGAACATGTTTTTGCATTCCCCTGTGCTTCATTTTCCATTGCTTTTCTTGATAAACCTATGTTATACAGCCGTTGAGTGTTGTGCTTCCATTTATTGCAGCATTTAAAGCAAATCACAGTATTCTAAAAAATGCAGCGCTCAAGTTCATACATTTCAGTCTTGCGTTTTTTCATTCCACTGCCCCGTGTCTAGCTTTTTTTAACATAAGAACCATTCACACAGAACATTTTTAAGGCTGCATCCAAATGTGTGGGCTGATTAGAAATGGTCTTCATGGCAAACAATGCTTACTCAAAGGCGTGAGAGACTCAACTAATGATCCATTAATTTCAATGCAGTGTTAGCATGTTGCTGAGCTAACACAACTTAAAGGGTTAGTTCACCCAAAAATGAAAATTAGCTTGTGTTTTACTTGCCCTCAAAGCATCCTAGGTGTATATGACTTTCTTCTTTCAGACAAATTCAGTCAGAGCTATATTAAAAATTGTTCTGGCTGTTCCAAGCTCTATCATTACAGTCAGCGGGTGTTGCAGTTGAACAGTCCACAAGTTGTCAAATAAAGCTCGCCCATTCATAATAAAACGTGGCGCAGACGGCTCCGGGGGATGAATAAAGGCTCCCTGTAGCGAATCCATGTGTTTTTTTAAAAGAAAAATGTCCATATTTCAAACATAATAAACACTTTTCTCTCACTTCCGCTGACTGTCATACACTGAAGCAGTTCCGGCGGATGACGCAGCACGTATGCGCAGCGTGCGCGCGCCTCTGAGGTATGCTAGTCTCGCGAGTTTGTTTATTGGAGCAAAAGCAAAGTTTCCTTACTTCAGCAAAGGAAAACCAGTCTCTTCCCAAAAGGGTACCAAGTGGGAGCGCAGAGGATTCAGCCTCCTCGCACCCCTAAGGAACCTGAAGATCAAGTCGTGCTTCCCAACAGACTTGCCATCTACTGCATTGGGATGTGCGGCGATAGCGGTAACATACACTTTGAGGGTGGAGAGAGAGACAGCCTTCGCTCCAGCCCTTCTTGCAGAAAGGAGAGCACGACCGCGATCGCCGGGAAGAACACCAATCGACGAACAGGTTCCACTTCAGCGCCTAGGTGTGCCTCGTAGAGTGCGCTCTAGCTGAAGTGATGGTGTTAACTACCGCTGGGGGCAGGTCACCTAGAACCTCCGCGTCCCGTCCAGAGACCACATGTGGAGATTCCAGAAGTCCGGGCGCGGGTGCCAGAAGGTGCCCCCTCTTTGAGAAAGGAAATCCTTCCTCAGAGGAATAAGCCAATAAGGGGCTGTCGCGAGGAGCATTAGTTCTGGGAACCAAGTCCGACTTAGCCAGTACGACCATACTTGCGTAGGCCCGGAGGCCAGCTGTGTGCCTCCCCTCGGCCAGGGAGTAAAACAGCTGGCAGTGGGACGTGTCCGGGGAGGCAAACAGGTCTACCTGAGCATCTCTGAAGCGTCTCCTGATCAGCTGGACTGTCTCGGGGTGGAGAAGCCATTCTCCCGGAAGGACGGGCTGACGTGAGAGCTTGTCGGCTGCACGATTGAGCTCACCTGGGATGTGAACGGCGCGAAACGACCTCAGATGCTTCTGACTCCAAAGGAGGAGATGGCGGGCGAGATGCGACGGGAGCGTAGACCACCCCGGTGGTTGATTTACGCAACAGTCGCAATGTTGTCCGTCCGGACCAGTACATGCTTGTCGTGTAGCAGCGATCCGAGCGGCGTGACCGCGGCAGCGGATGCTATATGCCCCATGAACCTCTGAAGCGGTTTCTGTGGAACCGCCCTCTTGCGCTGGAAGGACTCCAGGCAGCTCAGCATTGACTGGGCGCGCTCTACTGAGAGGCGCGCTGTCAGATTGACTGAGTACCACTTCCCTGTGTTCGCACAGCTGTGCTCGAGACTGGGCCAGTATGAGCCAGTTGTCGAGGTAGTTGAGAATGCGAATGCCTCTTTCCCTCAACAGAACGAGGGCTGCCTCCACGACCTTGGTGAAGACACGAGGCAACAGGGATAGCCCGAAGGGGAGGACCTTGTACTGATATGCTCGCCCCTTGAACGCAAAGCGGAGAAACGCCCTGTGTCGAGGGAGGATCGAAACATGAATGTACACGTCCTTCAGGTCAATCGCTGCAAACTAATCGAGCGGACGAACGCATCGAAAGAAACATTTCTGCGTCAACATCCTGAATGGGAGACTGTGAAGGGCCCGTTTCAGAACACGCAGGTCCAGGATTGGTCATAATCCACCGCCTTTCTTGGATACAATGAAGTAGGGGCTGTAAAACCCCGACTTCATATTGGCTGGAGGGACTGGCTCTATCGCGTCCTTCGCCAGTAGGACTGTGATTTCCACTCGCAAGACGGGAGCATCCTTGCTCAGCACAGAGGTGAACCGAATGCCCCTGAACTTGGGAGGACGCCGGGCGAACGGAATCGCATAGCCAAGTCTGATGGTTCTCGTGAGCCAGCGGAGTATCAGGAGCACTAGCCAAGCCCCCAGGACCCGAACAAGCGGAACTAGGGGAACCACCGATGTACCCACAGTGGGGCAGCGAGGTGGAGCACAGGGACCCGACCCAGAAGGCACAGCATCCCGGAGTGGGGTCTGAGTGTGCGGTGCAACACTTACCTGGCTCCACGGATGGGCAGGGGGCACGTGAGAAGCCATATCGTCCTCGAAACGGGCCCTGCTGTCCGCTGGCGAAAGGAGAGGGGGACGGGAGTGTTGAGGCCGTGTCTTGCACACTGCCATCCTCGCCCTCTTCAGACCCGGAGAAATAGGAAACTGCTCTTTTGTTGAATGTTTGGGTACCCCTGGCTGGGGAGCCAGTGGCGGAACAAAACAAAAAGGAAATAAAAGATTCTCCACCCGGCCCTCCTCCGGGGGAAGGAGTGGTACCCTCCCCACCTCCTGAAGAGCAGGATCCAGAGTCTCCGGTTCGCCCGTCTCAGGGACGCCGCTTGCCCTGGCGCTTTACGGGCCTGGCAGGGGCAGAGACAGGCTGCTCGGCTTTCCTGCTGCCAGCTCCACGCTGCGTGTGGAGGCTGCTGTTGAGGCCGAGCTGGAGCGGAGGTGGAGGCAGTAGGAAGGACTTCAGCCGGCGGTGGGGTGATAACAGCAGTGGGCCGCCGGGCAGGATGTGTCTGATCGCCTCCGTCTGCTTCTGTGCAGCGGAGAACTGCTGGGCGAAGCTCTCCACCGCATCGCCGAAGAGGCCAGCCTGGGAGATCAGGGAGTCCAGGAAACGGTGTTTGTCGGCCTCCCTCATATCTAACTTGCTGCCTAGTTTTTGTATTTTCGTATTTGTTTTAAAAATTTTACCCTAGATCATCCCATTAGGTTTGTGTGTGTAATCTATTCTTATTATTTTATTCATTACTATATATATATATATATATATATATATATATATGAATGAATGATTGGGCACTTTATAGACAAGCACACTTTTGCCAATTGTTCCTTCTGTGTGAATGGAAAGGAGGCCATGCAATGAGAAGAGCTTAGGGTTGTAGTACTTTGTGGGATAGGGTGGAGGCGATTGCATGATGTTTACTGCATGACTTGTTTATTTTATAACTTTTTGCCAACTTTGAAGTTGCATTCAGTTGCTTTGAAGTATTTTCTTATGTCCAGTTAGATGTGCTAATTGATTTTTATGATGCAAAACATTACCCACCCCTTGCCCCCTCACTTATTTTATCTAGAAGTATCAAGGCGTTTCATTGGAGATGACCCCCAAAACATATTATACAGTGTCCAGCGATGCACTGTTCAAGGTCAGAGTCACGCGCCTTCCTCCCACTCACAAGAACCTCCGGGCGTCTCCTCGTCTACCTCCTAACCAGCCTGTGTTTAACACCTAGATGCTTCTCCAGTTGCTTTTTGCATTGCAGGGTTCTTTTCACTCACACTTTACCTTGCACAACTTTCTTCCTTAATGGCTGCCACATCTCTACTTTCTGCCTAAAATCCAATCCTAGTATATCATAGACCTTATTTAGTGTGGACACCAATTAATTTGACACAAGCAAGGCTGTGAGATATAGTGAGATACAGAAGTATATCGTTTTGTCACAATACCAGAATTTTGGTAGTCTGGAAGTCAATACCAGTAAAATGTCAAGATACTGTTACCAATACAAATTAACTATGCTATTATCATAGTATTGTAGTAACTTTACAATTTATGATACTATAGCAAAAAACAGTTTGAACAACTATTTGAACTTGAAAATGTAAGATATTGATGCTAATTATATGTAAATAATAAATTAAAACATGCAGCTTGTAGTCTTCAAATATTTTAGTTATTTTCTTAGTCAATGTTGCTGTGTCAGGTGATGTTTGTTAATCTTCATTTACACTGCACGTCTTAATGCACACATCTGTTTGTACACTTCAGATTTCTCTTTATCCCATTTGTTACTGTGGTTATGCATTTACATCATGTCTGCACTTTCAGAAGATATCTTGCATGTTGACACATTAAATGAATTAATAATGTTCTATCAAGCAAAACCAAATGCTTAGGTTTTGTGAGGCACATAAGAGGCAACAATATCACTGACTCGATATGGAGAGTGACGGTTCTATCAGTTCCCCCAGGGTCATCAGCAGTCCTTATTGTTGAGTCCTGACATATTCGACGAACTATACATCTAAGCCTCACAGCCTTGTTTGTTGTCATCCAACTAAATAGGGACAGTTCTCTTAATAAGGTCTCTTTCCCTCTTTTAATGATTTTTTTTAATCTCTCTGTAATTCAGTGTTTCTGGCACTTTCAATAATTTTCTCTTTCTGCTCCACCCAGAGAACCTCGGACCAGCAACTTGATTTGTGATGTGCATCTAAAATAGTTGAACTAATCTTGTGCAAATAAACCTACCCCAAACAATAAAGTAGTGACCACTCCTTCAAATTTGAGGGAAAGTTAGGATAGACAAAGGGTTTAGACTGAATCCCACAGCTTCTGATATTGGCGTGCACATTTTTGCCACCTTCCAAATGAATGTTGGTGTGTCTGTATTTGAGTGGGTGTTGTGTGGTTTCTTAATGGGCTATTTGCCAAATACCAATTTTTAGGATCAGTCATTGCTTAGATAAAGTGGGAGTATTAATACATCAATGGCCATGGGTTGCTATTTTTGAAATCGCCCCATTGAGGGCTTGGAGATTTAATCTTTTTAAGGTCAGTTGTTTTATTGTGAGGGTATATGGTTAAAGTAGCCTTGCTCAACCTTGTACTAGTATTTCATATATTGTTCTGTTTATTTATGTTTATTTATTTATAAGCTGTTACAATAATATTATGTATGTTTTTTTTTTCTCTCTCCCTCCTTCCCACTGTCCTCTGCCTGTCTCCACCTGCAGGATCAGTATGGTAACTATGTAATCCAGCATGTTTTGGAGCATGGGCGTCCAGAAGACAAGAGCAAGATAGTGGCGGAGGTCAGAGGGAAGGTTCTGGCTTTGAGTCAGCATAAATTTGCAAGGTCCGTTAATGTGAGATAACTGTATTGTAGAGATGAAATGGTATGAAAAATTCATATCACAATTATAGTAACCAAAACATTCTAAAACTCTTAACGTGGCTTAATGTACGAAGACCAAATTTGGAGGACCAACTTTAATTTACATTATTAATAAAGAATATTATGTACAGACAAGCAGTAGAGCCCAGAATTTGCACAGAATGCGCAAAGATTCACATTAAGCGTTTTCCTCCCATAGAGTCCATAAAGAAAAAGTTGAACGTGGCTTAAAGGAACACGCCACTTTTTTTGAAAATAGGCTCATTTTCCAACTCCCCTAGAGTTAAACAGTTGAGTTTTACCATTTTCGAATCCATTCAGCCGATCTCCGGGTCTGGCGGTAGCACTTTTATCTGTAGCTTAGCATAAATCATTGAATCTGATTAGACCGTTAGCATCTCTCTCAAAAATGACCAAAGAGTTTCGATATTTTTCCTATTTAAAACTTGACTCTTCTGTAGTTACAATGTGTACTAAAACCGAGGGAAAATGAAAAGTTGCGATTTTCTAGGCCGGTATGGCTAGGAACTATACTCTCATTCTGGCGTAATAATCAAGGAACTTTGTTGCCGTAATATGGGTGCAGCAGGTGCAATGATATTACGCAGCACCTGAAAATTAACAGTAAATAACCCCAAATTAACAGTGCACTAACAATTTTTATTTTTTCTTTATTGTGTGCTTTTCAAGTATAATTTTTGCATAATGTATTAAATATTTATGATATTATGTAAAGATATAAAGATACCCTTTGGTCATCTGAAAACTGTAAATTTCCCTTTATTTTGTATGTGTCTGTCTCTTGTAGTAATGTTGTAGAGAAGTGCGTGATTCATTCTTCCCGTGCGGAGAGGGCCCTGCTGATCGATGAAGTCTGCTGTCAGAAGGATGGACCTCACAGTGCACTCTACACCATGATGAAGGACCAGTATGCAAATTATGTAGTGCAAAGAATGATTGACATGGCTGAACCTGCCCAGCGCAAGATCATCATGCACAAGGTATAAGCACAGAATGCTGTCACATCATTAAAATAATTGAAGAAAAGATTAAAAACTCAATCATCAGTATTTAAACCATTGCTGTTGTCAATTTCAGATTCGGCCCCATATTGCCACTCTCCGTAAATACACATATGGAAAACACATCCTGGCTAAGTTGGAGAAGTACTACATGAAGAGTGGATCAGACCTAGGTCCAATTGGGGGCCCCACCAATGGCTTAATGTAAGGGCCTCCCACCCAACCCATGCCCCTTTCGCTCAAAACCACGTCTGTTATGGGCATCTCCTCCACCGTGGAGTTCATACCCTTTAGGGGTTTTACCAAAAAAATGAAAGTAAAAGAAGTTGGCCTCACCTAAGAATGCTGAGACGTCTGACTAGTCGCTGGTGCAGTTCCCAGTTCAGTCCCCATTGTTACCTCCACCACCCCCCACTAGAGAGTGCATGGTCTGTAAGCTGTTTCCTGGGTAAAGCACAACACCCTTGTTCATGATGTAATTGATGTAACTGACTGTTTCCTTTTTTCTTTTCTAGTAAATATCTTGTAAAATTTTTTACCTTGTACATTCTCTGTAGAAAAAGAAATGTTTGCTGAAAATTTACAGTTCTAACAATTTACACCAGCAAGTGACTTTATAAGGCCAAACTGAGTGATCCTTTTTAATGTACTTTTTATTTTATTTAATTTTTTTAATGTCCATACTTCTTAATGGCACATTTAAGCCCAATGTTTTAGCCCAATGGTACACATGCCAAAGCTGCTGATGAAAAATAATGAACCAGTCAGCTTGATCTTAAAAACTTGCTTGTAGATGACCACTTCCGTCTGCCGTGCCATTGAGTTAGTTGCGTTAAGTTAGTTGCATTAAGTTAGTTGCATTATTCTCAACCAATCATAGAGCTTTGCTGCCTAGAGTTTGCTGGTCGTATCATTCAGAAGTGGTTTGAAGTGGCTGCAATTGCCATCTATTTTCTTCTTTCCCTCCCTCATGCACCGTATTTGATTAACTGCTCCGGTTTATTTTTTTTATTTTTTATTTTTTAAGAAGCGCGTGTTTGCAGTATACTATACACCCCACTGACCAAGTCTGTTGCACACCTATTGTCTTGGTTTATTATTATGTTTCGAATGAATTGTAAGGATACCAGTGCACCTGCCATTATACACAGCTATGAGTTAGACCGATACCTGGAATTTTTCCGTTTTGGGGTGCGTGGGAGGTATGCAGGGGTGGGGAGATTTGGCATGCTGTGTCTGGATTTAATGTTTTAATGGAATGATTTTTCTTTGTCATCACATTTGTGGAACATCTGTCTATTGAGTAGTTTTTTTTAACACTGCCCTAGAAACAGTATGGTTGTACTGATTATCATCTCTTTACATTGTAATAGCTTAGGCAAAATGTATAGCATCTTCATGTACAAGTATAAATATTAAATTGTTGCTGTTTTTTGGGTGTGGGGGGAGACGGCGCTTGAGTTTTAGATGATGCTCTCCTGGGCAAAGTGGAGAAGTTGGTAGGTGACATCCCTGTCCTTGGAGTCATGCAAGGACGTTTGGCTTCGGCGCAAGTAGGACAGATTTGATTTCAGGAACGTGAGACGTTGCGGGGTAGGATTAAATGTGCGGCATTCAGCAGTGTAGATTGAGAATGTGCAAGAGTATACTTTTCAGAGAATGGACATGGGGCTGCCGTCTTCTGCTGCACGGCTAATATATTAATGGCTTTTGTTCCTTTGCTTCATATGAATAAATGTAGAATACATGTAGTATATGTGGAGTTAAGTGTAAGTTTATTAGTTAAATAGAAGAAAAAGAATCTAGTTGTGATGTTGGACAGGCCTTGCTAAATTGCGTAGTGATTTGCTTTTATTTTGTCTGTACAGTTGTACATTTGTAAACGTTAATGCTGTAAATGGAATGTCTTTTACACTTTTTGGGGAAGAAAAATCAAAAATGTGCATTTTGATGTGTGAATATTCATCACTCCTTTCCCTTTGAATATAATGTATACAGTTTTCTTTGAACAAGTGTTATTTTAAAAACAAAAACTTATGCGTCACAATCTCAAGGTGGTTTTGTTTTTAATCAGTTCTTGGAAAAGGTCAGCCTCTTCATGTACCTGGAGCAATGACACCTTCTGTTAACATAGTCATTTTGACGTGTGGCAGTTGAATAAAATAACTAAAAAATTATGAATAAACAAGGGTTTGTCTTTGGTTCTACCTACTACCATGGACATTTGACAGGACAAGAATTATTTTTGTATAAAGGAGTGCTGTATTTTGGAGCAGCCACTAACTTGTAAGCAAAGTAATTGTAAGATATTGTCAATTATATAAATATGAACATATGAGTTTTGTCACGCTGTCAAAGTCATGTACATTTTCAGGTGGCCTTATGTACATTTCCAGATGTTAGATGAGAAAAGACCTTTTTTTGGGAAGCAGAATTGTGACTATGTATGATTAAACTGTTCTTCTAACATTTTATTTTGGTGTATGAAGCTTTTATTATTCATTAAATACACTACACTCACTACACACTCATTGACAGCTGAAAGGAATATTCCTGGTTAAATATTCCTCATTGAAATGTAGTGTGCTGTCGATTATAACACAAAATATTTTAATAGTTTTATTCGACTTGAATGTTTAACATACAAAATGTTTAATATTTAGTAAAAATGATACGAATTTAAGTTACCTTAACTGACCTTGGAAGAAGGGACTATTAAGTGGAATATTTTTTTTCATATGTTAAGGGTTTCCTGTTTCTGCTCCTTGATACCAATCTCATGCATACGTAAGCAATAGGGTACAAGAGGCTGTACTCTAATGTGAACACTGTCACGGCTGAAGAGTAGTTTGGCATCATGCCTGCAACCCCTTTTGCTCTGGCTATTCACAATACTGCATACCTTAAGTACCTTTCTGCTTTTAAAAAATGGTTACCATATGTATATTTTTGGCTTTGATATTTGTATTGTATTAATGTTGCTTTTTAACTAAAATATTAAATGCCATTTTTGATCGTAACAGTAAATGGCAAGACTGTTTCTAGGTATAACATGACACATTTGACTAGTACCATGGATCTTAAAGAAAAAACAGACTCGTGCTGTCTTTTTTTTTTTTTTTTTTTTAATAAATAGATTTCCTTGCAAAAGATTCAGGAAGTAAGTTCTGATACTTTGAATTCATACCCAAAGCCATGGGGCAAAAATAACTTTTTTAAATAAAATTTTTTTTTTACATTTTGGCTTAAATGGTCAGGAACACATCACACAGCTCATTGGTCCATAGATGGGGAGATGGGAATATCAGACTTAAGAACGCTCAAGTTTTTCGGCTAGAGTCCTTACCAGGTCAAGAAAATAGCACCCCAATTTTACAGTCTCTGCACTGGCTACCAGCAGCCTTATCACCCTGTAGCCCAAGACTGGTTGCCCACTGAAGCGAAGCAGGGTTGAGCCTGGTAAGTACCTGAATGGGAGACCTCCTGGGAAAACTAGGTTGCTGTTGGAAGAGGTCTTAGTGAGGCCAGCAGGGGGTGCTCGTTCTGTTAAATTTAAATTATAATCGATGTGAATTGCTACCAAATAGAAAATGCTCTAAATTGCTCTAATACCCCCTAATATTTCAATTGAGTGTATTGGTGTCAAAAATAGTGTAACACATCTTGGTATACAAATAACTAAAGATGTAAACACACAAAAAAGCAAGAGGGTCTGTGTATTATGGCATACACAGCTCAGTCTCTCTTTGTGGATAAGCCCATTTGTAAATCAATGAGGTTTTAATAAAAACCTTTAAGGAAAAACAAATGTCATTACATGTGATGGTCATCATATTAAACTCTTACAATAGTATTGGTCTGAATTTGATTAATTTTGATTCCCTCAACAATAAATTCAAAATGAAGTGGCTAAATCAATAAATATTAAAACCATCTTCTATTTGGAATGTTTTTCACCAACTAGTTTTTTCACAAATTGGTGGCATTCATTTTCTTCTAATGTGTAATTATGACACATCCAAACTCCCTATCAAACTTTTCTACTTTCATGAGTTTCTGGGAGCATGGCTCCATAGACTTTATGAACATAATTTTTCACCACAAAGGTGTTTTAGTTGGAACAAAAACATTTTATTCAAGAACAAATCTCTGTTTTATGATAACTGGTTTAGTAATGCTTTGTTTTTTGGTAATGTGGTTGTTTTAATAATCAAACAAATTTCTCTCCAAATGCCAAATACAGTGGGGCAAAAAAGTATTTAGTCAGCCACCAATTGTGCAAGTTCTCCCACTTAAAAAGATGAGAGAGGCCTGTAATTTTCATCATAGGTATACCTCAACTATGAGAAACAAAATGAGAAAAAAGTGATCTGTCTAAACCAGTGGTTCCAAATCCATGCCAGAGTTTGCAGGAGGGTGTGGGAGCTTATATGTTTTGAGGTCAAATATAGATGCAGAAAAAACCATTAGTATTCAGACAAATTCATAGGTAGTTTCCAGGAATAGATATAGGACACAAGGGCTTCAAGGACAAAAGGTTTGTGATCTGTCTAAACCAGTGGTTCCAAATCCATGCCAGAGTTTGCAGGAGGGTGTGGGAGCTTATATGTTTTGAGGTCAAATATAGATGCAGAAAAAAACATTAGTATTCAGACAAATTCATAGGTAGTTTCCAGGAATAGATATAGGACACAAGGGCTTCAAGGACAAAAGGTTGGGAAACACTGTGAATGATTGCACATGAACTCGGCTGCTATCACTGTCCACCAGTTACATTTATTGGATTTTTGTACTAATTTCCCTATTTGGCCAATCCCATAACTCAAGGGCACATAAGGGTGCCATATTTCTCAGCGCTCACTGTGGCAGCTGCACTGTAAAATCTAATTAGTTGGGCTTACTTAAAAAAAGCATGCAAACCGATTGCCTTGAAAAAACTAAGTAAAGTGAAATAGCAATAGTATGTTGTACTGACAGATGCTTAGTTAGTATAGCTTACTTACACGAGAGTTCTAGTAACTAAAAAAGAACTGTAGGGGGTACTTGATCCTTTCATTTAGGTTTACTCATGACTTAGTATAGCTACTCACTGACTCCCAGAGTGCATTGCAGTATGAATAAATTATACAGTTGCTTTGTTTTATAGTTGTTGATTTTATTTGACAATTTTATTTGCTGTCTTGTGTCAGTAGCAGCACAACAAAAAGAACGAAAATTTTTGATAAAGTTGATTAATGAACACACACACAGTTAATGCACTAATGCACTAATGCTTTAATTAGAAGATAAAGTTATTTATTACTCTTCTTCCTTTGAAATCAAATAACTTAGACTTCATTATGCATTACTACATTAACAGGAAGATAATTATAGTAACGTAAACCAAGTTCAAAGTGCACAACCAAAGGGACTGCTAATCACTATAATGGGAAGTAAAAAAAACACATTTTAGGAAAATCAACATCAATTTATGAAGTTAGCTTATGTGATGTTCTTTCAAATATTTCAGTTGTATTGAGAATTCAACATTCAAGATGACTTTGGGAAACGAGTAAATGCAACTAGAGAAAGATAACTGCAGACGGGGAGGAAATGAGTGAAAAGTCTATTAAGACTCATTTTCTTTTCTTCTGCTGTTGTTATGTTGCACATTAGCAACATATTAGTGCACTGCTGCCTCTCATTGGTTTATTAATGTCATTGGTTCCTTTGTGGCTACTTGAATATTTTAAGTAAGTGTCACTCAAAACAGTAAGTAAATTGTTTTATTTGCCTTGAAAGTAGCTGTAACTTAATAAAACCTAGTAAGTATAACAACTAAGTAAAGATAACTAACTAAATCTAAGTAAGGTAAACTATTGGATTTTACAGTGTGTGTTTTCTCTCTGATTGTAAGTGTGATCAGACTACCAGGAGGTATGATACCAAGGCATTTCTGAGACTGATTATAATTGGACGGTGAGCTCTCAGAGATATATTCACGTAATCCATCAATTAATTTGAGCCTATCATAAACTACAAATCCTACAGGAAGCATTATGCATCTTGTCTAAGTATTAATCATAATGGATCCTTGGACTTTCATGTTTGTCCATATTTATTTTATTACACAGGAGGTGCCAGAAATATGTAAAAAGTACTTGTTTGGAATCCTGTTTCTTCTACCTCTAAAAACTCCCATGTATTCAGTATTCAGGAAAAATATGTTTATTCAAGTGTGCTTCACAAATATGGTAAAATAAGATCAAATAACTGGTGGGGCTGTTTTTGCCTTGAATACATGAAAAGAAGCAGCAAACACTAGAAATACCAAGTAATCAAAAACCCCATTGTTTTAATCTCACATTCATTGGGGAGGCAATCTGTCTTTCAGGTGTGAATCACTAAATATTCATGGTCATTGTCACTCCCTCGCATACGGCATTTCTAACACAAAATGTGTCTTACAAAAGTTAAATAATATATTGTTTTTTGTGAATGATTGAGCAGATTTTTTTTAGCAAAAACTCTATTCTACCACATCCAGTTCTCAAAAGCCTTGTGAACAAATGATCTGTATGTGTTTTGTGTTTTATGGCCTTATTTCAGTGACTTAAAAATTTTAGTTTTTCACACTGTAAAATCTAATTAGTTGGGCTTACTTAAAAAGCATGCAAACCGATTGCCTTGAAAAATCTAAGTAAAGTGAAATGGGAATAGTATGTTGTACTGACAAATGCTTAGTTAGTATAGTTTACTTACACAAGAGTTCTAGTACCTAAAAAAAGAACTGTAGGGGGTACTTGATCCTTTCATTTAGGTTTACTCATGACTTAGTATAGCTAGCTACTCACTGACTCCCAGAGTGCATTGAGGCATGAATAAATTATGTAGTTGCTTTGTTTTACAGTTGTTGATTTAAATTGAATGGTTACCATTGTTGTGATTCACGAGCTGAATGTTTAAGTCTGTCTGTGACGTCAGCATATTAGCACACACTATTTAAGGACTGTATAGAACTAATTAATACAATTGCAAATTATTTATGAATAGTGTAACGAAGAAGTTCATTAAATATCACACACTAAAAAAATGTACAGTTTGTTCACAGTTTCTTTTCTGAGTTCACATTGTTTTTGCTAAGTAACATGGGTTTCTCCTGAGTTTTTCCCCACAATCCAAGGACAGGTGAACTGTAAATAC